CGCTTGAGCCCAGGAGTTTGAGGTTGCTGTGAGCTAGGATGACGCCACGGCACTCTAGCCCGGGCAACACAGTGAGACTCTGTCTCAAAAAAAAAAAGAGCATTTGGAAATTGATTCAAAAGTTGCCTGCTGTTGTTAACCAGAGCTTTTACATATTAATGTTGAAAAGGAAATTTATTCACAGAAGCAGTCTACATGGGGAGCTGTCTAAGTGTAGCTCTGAATTGAAGACCTGTCCTCCTGGGCTAGGTCTAGATGAAACAGGATGAAACTTGTTTTCTAACTTTCCCTCTCTAGATCTGTTCTCTGCTGAGGATTCTGAAAGGGAAAACAGTGACACTTCATGGAGTCATTTAAAATTGTAATCATTCTTTAGTGCGGTGACTCAGTCCATTAACACAAATAATGCTACTGGACAGCTACTGTAAAAAACAAAACAAACAACAAAAAAGCACCAGTAAAGTCAAGAAGTATTTTTCCACTTGATCTTTGGGAAACTTTCCCAAACAAACGAGTTTCTGCTTTATAATTACTGCAGGAGAAGGTAGATCAGATTTTGTTTCTAGGCCACAACCAATAGACTATTTGTTCAGGTTTCTTTTATCTCCTGAAACCTACATTCTTTGCATGGAACCAGAACCCTCCCTTTTGAAAGAAGTGGAGCTCTGCTGGGCTGTCTAATTACATGAAAGCAGACACTTCTTCTCTAAGCATGGGGCTTCTAGTGGCCTTGAATCATTGTGATGATAATGCAGGAAGAAGTAGAAATAGCAACAAGTTAACAACAACAAAAAACTTCTTTGAAACTTTTTGCTACTTGCAGCTTTTTAGATCAGGACTGCTACCGAGATACAATTAAATCCTAGAGGTACTTTAGAAGCAGGAGATGTTGTAATGTCTTTTCTCCACAATGGTGTGACACTATGAAGAGATATCGGGTTTAATTCTTACAAATTAGAAAGCATCATCTGACTAAACTGAGTATCTCTCAGGCTTAATCAACTTGTATCAATAGTGAGGTTTTGTCATGCAAAGTATCCCCCTTTAAATCATAAGGTTGTGCTGGAAAACTGCTTTCACTTTTTAGAGTTAAACTTTTCCCCTAGTCCTGTGAGTATTGAAACTCTTAATGTTTTTAGGAGCTTCAAAGCATTCTTAGGAAAGGAAAGCTAAGTTTTGAGAATATTATGGAAAAACTACGAATCAAGTATTCTGAAATGTACACCATAGTCCCTGCAGAGATTGAATACCAGGTGGAAGAATGCAGAAAAGCCTTAGAAGACGTAGATGAGAAGGTAATAATGTTTATACTAGTGTTATTATTTATGGAGTTGAATGAATATAAAAAAGCAAATGTCATTTAATGTCACATTTTCGTTTGTCAGGATTTCAGCTATGACTATTTTAATAGAGTTTAAGTGATGATTTTGTGTATTGAATACTCAGATAAAGATGCTCTAAATATGTGATATAAGATAACAGAATTAGGAATCTATATTTTTAATTGTTAAGATGCTTAGTTTTTCTTCTCTTGCATTTTAAAATAGTTATATGTTATCTTTCACTTGGCCTATTATTATTACATTTTACTGTACAACCATGTAATAATTCTGGGCATGACTAGTACTTTGCTTTAAAATATATTCCCTGAAAATTTTGAAATTACAACCAAGGGCAATAAGAATACAAATTTCACAACTCACTAGGAATAGCATTTAGCAACATACAGTGATTATCCAATGATGATGTTAACAGAATTCCCATAAAATGTGCCTGAGTAAATCTTTATACCTGAAAGTCCAGATTTAAGGAAATGGTGAGAAATATACTACTGGAGACATAAGAGCTTAGCTAGACAATTTTATCGGATTATAAAAAGGCAGCCCCTATCCAACAGTACAAAATTCTATTTGGTCTAGCATCCACAGAAGGATTTTTGTATTTTTTTTCCTGAAGCTTAGAGTACCCATAACTTGATAAATAAAATATATCTTAAGTAAACACACAAGAAATCAGATTTCAAGCTTAGTTGCTAGAATCTGTCATTAACTTCTATAACATATTTCTTAGGAAAATCTAGTCTGTGTAAAAAACACGTAAACTCCTGATATATATTTATAACAATTCTTTTTGATTTAATACACAAGAAAGCCTGTTAGGTACTTTCTCAAGGATCATGGTACTATTGATTTTAAGAGAGTACTAAATGTTTTGAGAGAAACTAAATGTTATTTTCCTGAATACATAATGTGAAATCCCTAACAAAGTAAAATAATAATCAAAATTAGTGTTTCAAATTCAAGATTGAAAATTTCTGCTATGAACTTGTATATTTGTAACAAACAGCAACTAATTTTGATTGTGTGATGGATCTAAAGGAAGTTCAAGGATCTGGGCGACAGAGTACCATTGTGTATAATTCAGATGGCTACTTACTTTTCCTATATCATGGCCAATCCTAATGTATCTAAGTGGTGGACATTTCCACCAGGAGAATAACTGCCCAAAATATCCTTAGGCTTTGTTTTGTAGTCATTTGTTACAGAGCCAGCAATAGTCAGCTAATACAGGACCAACGTGGGATTTTTTTTCCTAATAATCTTGACCGTGGTATGGTCTGTGGAATAAAAACATGCTATGAAAGTATCAATAGCCTGATGTTGTGAATAGAGTCTGGGATTTGTAATCTGGGGATTTAGGGGCTTCATGGGACAAGTTCAACTAGTGCCTTGACACATGACTGTAGCAAGTCACTTGGCCTTTATTTCTGCATCTGTGTGCTATCTACATAGGATGGTTTTAATCTCAATGGTTATACAGGTATAGTGGGATTTTTTTCCCTTAGAAAACTAAAAAGATGGGTGGGGAATCTGCTGCCCCAAGGCCATATGTGGCCCTCCAGATCCCCAAGTGTGGTCCCTTGACCAAATCCAAACTTCATAGAACAAATCGCTTTATTGAAAGGATTTTTTCTGTAAAATTTGAGTTCAGACAAAAGGCTGCACTCAAGGATCCAGAAGGCCACATGTGGCCCCAAGGCTGCAGGTTCCCCACCCCAATTTAGAGAAAGCCTTATCAACATAGCAAAACAAGAACACAAACTAATCAGGTATTTGGAAAATGATACATTTAACATTCATTCATTATCTTTCCTGGCACAGTTATTTTCTTAAGAAAATCTTTTAGATAAAAAAATTACACTGTTCAGCAGTTAGATTTCTAATCGCCGGGAAAACATCCACTAGAAACAGTCACCCAGAGAAAAATTAAGCTCTTTGCATCCTCAAGAAATAGCTACTTTTAGAAGGCTGTTTTACCAAAATGAGTATTATGGTAGGAATTAAATTTTTTTTTAAGTCAGATTGAGAGTAAGTTTGGTTTTATTGAAAACAGATCTGTGCAGAGGATTTTCTCATAAAAATGAAGAGATCATATAATAATTTCCCCCAGGAATTCTTTCATATCATTTGATCCATACGGGTATGTTTCAAATCATCCACTCAGTAATTTGGCCCAACACAGCACGTATCTGTAATGTATATATGGATTGCATTCAACAATTTTTTATTTTATTTTATTTTTAAGATTGGATTTAAAAGATCAGGTAAACACAGCTGCCATTTAGTAGTCTGCGAGTCTATACTCTCATTAATACAATAGCCAGTATGATTTGAAAGCTTCTTCCTCCAGCTCTTACAAGTAAAAGCAGAGTGATTGTCATTTGAACCTGTGAAGAGAGTGCAGGAAACCTCTCTAAGCCAAATGCCTCTTTGTCCTTTGTAACAGATAAGCAACGACGTCTTGAAGAGCTCACCATCATGTGTAATGAATAGAAAAATAGAAGACATTAACAATGGACTTCATAATGTTGAAAAGATGTTGCAGCAGAAAAGCAAAAATATTGAGAAAGCTCAAGAAATTCAAAAGGTAACATTTTAACTTTAACTCCCTTCGGCATTTGGTATTTCTGATCCATTCCCTGCCCCTGTTCATCAGTCATCACAAGGTGAGTTCTTGGAATTAACCTGAAGCACAGAGACCCTAAACCAGATCCACAGGGGCATAACCTCAGACACTTGATAGAGAAAGTTGTGCTTAAGAATCATTCTCAGTTTTTCCATGGTGGCCATACACCCAAACTCCTGAGAGCTTCTCATTGTGAACCAGCATTTTTATAAGTAAAGGAAGGTAAGGATCTCATCTTGGGAAGACTGATATAAAAATTAATTCAATAGGATATTAACAGCTTTTTTTAGACTGCCAAAGTAAAAATAAGGAAAATAAAAATTCCAAATTATTTCCCTTGTAAAATGTCTTGGGAAATAAAATCTTAGGTAAAACTAAATAAACATGATATTCTACTTCTTAACTTCCAAATAAATAAACTCTTGTATATGGAAAGGATTCTTTTCTAATCTACATTTTAAAGAAATATTCTATATAATTGGGGACTTTTAAAATAGGTCAGAATATGGCTCACTTTGGGATAAAATCTTGGAGTCTTAAGCAGAGGAACGTAAGTTAACCAGTTAGATTTTCCCACTTCTCAAAATTATGTTCTTAAGCAAATATTAAGTAAAAATTGAATATTTTACCTTTGAAATTTTCCTATGCCAAGTTCAGATTCACATCTAACCTATTGGTTTCTTGAGCCAACAGCAGTTGCTGCCATTAATGATATTAATACATGTGGCTAGAGCTTTCTGCCTCTTCATTAATCCTGAGTCAGCAGATATTTTTCTTTTGTCAGTTTTAATTTTATACTTACTAAAATTGCCTTCTAGATTAAGTACATATATATACCGGTCTAAATAGGTTCAAGTATTTCCCCAAGCCCTTTTCTAAATGTAATGTTTTCCTCGTTACTCTTGAAAGGTAAGGGCCATATTGACCTTGTTTGTGTCATTCATTTCTAGAAATGTCTGGGTCTTTCTGTTCCCCTGCAGCTTGTTTGTACTGAAGTGAATACAGTTGCAGTTAGGAGAGCTCAAGATAAATGTTTTTCAGTTTAGATCACAAATGGTTGCTGGATATAAATTAATAACTATGCCTTGATTTGTTTCTGTAATGTTTCAGTAGCATTTACAAATGCATATACTATATGAAAACTAGGAATTACCACCAGGAACTATGACATCTTCATCAAGTTGACTTAAGACTTCCTTTTCCAGAAAATGTGGGATGAGCTTGACCTCTGGCATTCCAAGCTAAATGAGCTGGATTCTGAAGTTCACGACATTGTTGAGCAGGACCCGGGACAGGCTCAAGAGTGGATGGATAACTTGATGATTCCTTTCCAGCAGTATCAGCAAGTGTCACAGAGAGCAGAATCTAGAACCTCGCAATTAAATAAGGTACAGCTGTGACACATGATAGCTGTTAATACATAGCATATGGTTGTACTGAGATGGGTTTAAAACAAAACAAAAAATATATTCAGAGGCAGCCGGTTTCCTTTGAATTGCCAGTTGCAGGACCTGAAGCTAGAGCCACACGGTAGGCTCACGTGGGCACTGAGGGGACAGATTTCAATGCTAAGTGCAGGCAGGAGGTCTGACTGGGCAGGCAGACCCAAGAACCCAAAAGTCACAAGTCCAGGCAAGCACTGGGCTCCCCAGTGGATGGATGAAGACCAGTAATGGGAATTTAGAGCAGGCGATCTCAGGTGTCCAGGAAGGGAGCCATGCATGGAAAGACTGTCATTTGGGGACAAAATACCCTCTCTACCCCTGTTCCAAATAGGCGCGGTGGTTGGGTGAGTTGTGTATGTGATCTAGCAAGAGTGAGGCAGCATCGAGTCTTAGAAGAACTATAGGATAAGGTCCTGAACAGGACAAAGCACAAGCCCAGTTTTCAGAATGAAGTGTAAAATGGGAACCAGTTGCGAGGCTGGCTGGAACTCTGGCGAGGCCTGTAGCGTTGGAGTAGAACTTCTTAAATCCTTTCCACCCATGGTTGGGATTAGTCTTAAAAGTTGGAAGGATCATAACATGGAGCGGGTGAGCAAGTGGCCCCAGACATGGGGAGCGCAGACCTGCGAGGCCTGACACCCCACTGACCGACACCAACTAACTCTTCGTTCAGGAGTCATTCAGCTCCAGGAAGAGGCACCGGCCTGAGTTTGTACGCATCTCTTTCACAGGCCACGCTAAAGATGGAGGAATATAGCGAGCTCCTGAAGAGCACTGAGGCTTGGATCGAAAGTACCAGTCGTTTGCTGGCCAATCCTACTGACTATGACTCTTCACGGAAACTGAGTCACCATGCCAGCACCCTCCAGGTCAGTGTTCTTTCGAGGTCTCTGTGAGTCACAGAATCCACGTAATGATTAGTGGCTTAGCTCATCGTCATGGTGCTTTTCCCCTTCCTTCCTGAAACACAGCCTTACCCCTAACCATGCCAATGGCAGAAGGAGGCACTAGACAGGGATTTTAGAGACCAGGATCTAGCTCTTTCCATCCTGATAACTACTTCATGACTTTTTGGGTAATTTAGTTTATCTTCTGTGGGCCTCAGTTTCCCCCATCTGTGAAGTAAGAAGCTGCCTGGATGGTGTTAATGGTTTTGGCAGCAGAATTTTAAGACGGCCCCCAGCATTCCCCTTCCCTGGTGTACGTGACTTGCGTAATCCCCTCCCCTTGAGTGTGGACGGGGATATGAATATGATGGGATACTTGCTTAGGTGTTACATGGCTAAGGTAATGGGGTGGTCACTCCCATAAGTACATGATTAACATGATTGCATGATTATAAAACTCCCTAGTACAGGTTTTTACATTTTCAGATTTGGGATATTCAACTGGTAAGTATAATACCAAAATTTCAAAATCAGAAAAAAACCCCAAATCTGAAACACTTCTGGTCCCAAGCATTTCAAATAAGAGCTACTCAGTCTGTAGCAGAGTATAAAGAGATTCTCCTGCTGGCTTGAAAAGTAAGCTGCCATGTTGTGAGAGGACCACAGGGCTAGGACATAAGGCAGCTTCTAGCCACCAACAGCCAGCAAGGAAATGGGGACCTCAGTCCTACCACTGAATTCTGCCAACAACCTGAGTGAACTTGGAAGAGAACCCTATGCTCCAGATAGCACTTGATTGCAGCCTTGTGACACCCTGTGCAGAGGACCCACCTAAACTATGCCTGGACTCCACGGACACTATGAGACAATAAATTTGTTTTGTTTTAAGCCATTAAGTTTGTAATAATTAGTTACACAGCAATAGAAAACAAATCCGTGGTTCCTTCCAGTTCTAACATGCCACGATGCCAAATTTCCTGTTATTTCTGGTAGTCCACAGGGGCCCCGTGTCTCCACACTAGCTTACAAAGATGAAACACATGAAAGTGTTTTCCTATTTGGGGCCATGACTGCAAGAAACTTCCAGATGCTGTGTACTGACTGAAGTTTTATTGGGAAGGAGTATTTCCCTTCTCTTACATTACTCTGTCTTGAGAAAGAATCCCTTAAGAAAAAATTTATGATAGTTTTTACAGAATGACATTTCAAAGATGATCTAGCTCCTCTTTATATCTTTAGAATAGCACAACTTGTTCCTTAGTGAGCTGCTGACTTCAGACCTCCCTGATGTTTGAGATTTGTTGGCACATTTTTTTCCTATGGTAACAATTATAAACATACTGCATTTTCACCCATTTTTTTTCTTTTCATTCTCCTGCTTGTGATTTCTTTTTCCTCCTCCCATTTGGGTTGGCTTTCCATGTCCCCAGAGTTTTTCATCTTTCTATTTTTAATTGCTTCCATGATTCACGATTTTTGAGGACTTTGCCAAGACAGAAGAAAAAAATGATGCGTTCTTTTCCTTAAATGCTTATGAGTTTAAAAAAAACTCTACCAAAGTGAGCTCAGGCAAAAGCAGCTGGGATTTTGCTACCTTCTGATGATAGACATGTAAAAATGTAAAATTATCTTTCAAACTGTTCTGGACATTGTAAGTTGCTGGACTTTGTTTATGAGTTAGAAGCGAGTAGAGGAAGTTGGGACAAGGGAAGATGCAGGTTTATTTCCCACAAAATGTATTCCTAGTAAATCTCCAAATGGGAAGGAAGTCCCAAATAACTAGCCCCATGTGAAATCGCTATTTTGTCCCTATGATGAAAATAGTTCTGCTTTTAGGATGTTCTTTTCCATTTTCTAGCGTTACCAGATATTTTTCAAATGACTCTTAAAGAAGGATCAAAACTCTCAACTAAGCTTTAAATGTTTGCTTTAATTGCACTCTAACTTTCTACCTGGATTGCATTTGTTAAAACAGGTTTTTATAACCTAAAGATGATGATTCCACAAATACTGTGACTGTGAGTAAGTCATTGAAACATAAATTGTCATTGAAAAAATAGGAAATTAACTTGTTTTTTTAATCAACTTCATTGAGGTATAATTTACATGTAGTAATATGTCCATGTTCAGTGTGCATGTAGGTGAATTTTGATAAAGGTGCGGTTGTGGAATTACCACCAACATCAATGTAAAGAACATTCCCATCATCCCAAAAAGTTTTCTCTTGCCCCTTTGCATTCAATTTCCTTTCATCCATCTGCAGCCCTAGGTAATCACCCACTCACTACTTACTCAGTATTACTCCAATTTTGCCTTTTCTAGAATATCATATAGAGAGAATCATACAGTATGTTATCTTGAGTCTGGCTTCTTTCACTTAGCGTGATGCTTTTGAGATTCATCCAGGTCGTTATATTCATCAATGCATAGTTCATTCTTTGATTGCCGAGTAGTGTTCCATTTACAGAAATAAGCAATTTGTTTATCCCTTCACTGGTTAATAGATATTTGGGTTGTTTCCTGTTTTGAGCTATGTATTAGCTATTGCTATGTGACAAATGACATTGAAAGTTAGCAGCTTAAAACAATAAACATTAATTATCTCATAGTTTCTGTAGGTCAGGAATCCGGGCATGGCTTGAGCATCTCTGGCTCAAGGTCTCTCATGAGAATGTAGCCAAGGTGTCCGCAAAGGCTGAGGGCTCATGTGAACGCTCCACTTGGGTGAGGGAAGAGATAGGATTCACTTCCAAGCTCGTTCGCAGGCCTGTTGGCAGGCCTCGGAAGGTCAGCTTCCATACACAGGCACGTGGCTGCCCTCAGCATAAACAATCTAACCGTGAGAATGTGCTCCCAAGACAGAAGCCACAGTCATCTTCTTGTTATCTAATCTTGGAAGTGACATCTCATCACTTCCGCCATATTTTATTAGAACTAAATCAGTAAGTCCAGCCTGCATCCAAGGGAGCCGATGATTAAGGGCATGAATACCAGGAGGTAGAGACATTAGGGGCCATCTTGGAGGCTGCCTACCACAGGCTGTTATGAGCAGAGCTGGTACGAAGATTTTTATACAAACCTTTGTGTGGACATACGTTTTCATTTCATTTCAATGGGTAACTACCTAAGAGTAGGATTTCGGACTTTCATGATAAATGTTTAACTGAATAAGAAACTGCCAAATTGTTTTCCAAAATGGCTGCAGTATTTTCTTTCCTTTTCACCAGCAATGTGAGTTCTAATTGCTCCATATTTTTGACAGCACTTAATATTGTCTGTCTTTTAAATTTTAGCCATTTTAGTGACTTGTAGTGGTATTTCATTGTGGTTTAAATGGCATTTCTCCAATGACTAATGATTTTGAGCATTTATTCATGTCTTTATTTGTCATTTGTACACTTCCTTTGTGAAATATCTATTTAAATTTTTTTTCTTTTTGCCTATCGTTTAATTGAGTTGTTTGTCTTATTACTGAGTTGTAAGTTATTTGTAAAACATCCTAAAAATCATTTCTTTGTTATGTATGTGATTTACAAATATTTTCTTCTGGTCTGTGGCTTGTCTGTTCATTCTCTTAACACTGTCTTTCAGAGAGCAAATATTATTAATTTGATGAAGTCCAGTTTATCAATATTTTATTTTATGAGTTATTCTTTTATGCTGCATTCTAAGAAATCTTTGCCTAACCCAAGGTTACAAAGATTTCCTCCTATGTTTTCTTCTAGAAATTTGATGGTTATAACTCTTATTTTTAGGTCTGTGACTCATTTCGTGTTCGTTGTTGTATAAGGTGTAAATCAAGGGCCAGGGGTTCTTTTTTTTCCATAGGAATATCCAATTGTTCCAACACCATTTATTGAAAAGACTCTTGCCATTGAATTACTTTGTCACCTTGTTGAAAATCAATTGACCTCATACATGTGGGTCTATTTTTGGATTCTCGCTTCTGTTCTATTGATCTATGTGTCTATTCTTTCACCAACATGACAGTCTTAATTACTACAGCTTTATAGTAATCCTTGAAATCAGGTAGCATAAATTCTACAACTTAGTTCTTTTTCAAGTTTGTTTTGGCTAATCTAGGTCTTTTGCATTTCCATATATATTTTAAAACAAGCTTGTCAATTTCTGTGTAGAGGTCTGTTAAACTTTTTAGTGGGATTGCATTAAATCTGTAGATCAATTTGGAGGAAAATTAATATCTCAGCCATATTGACTATTTGATTCAGGAACGTGATATATCTGTTTATTTATTCTGGTGTTCTTTAATTTTTCTGAGCAATGTTTTATAGTTTTCAGTGTACAGTTCTTATACGTATATTGTTAAATTTATCCCTAAGTATTTTGTGGGTTTTGGTGCTATTGTAAATGGTATATTGGTTAAAAAATAATAATAATAAGTGTTGGTTTTAAGTTTTATTTTCCTAAAAGTTCTCTCCTAGGATTTTGAATAAGACCAATATAAAATTCTGAATAACTTATTTTAGTGATGTATGACTAGAATTCTAGTTGCATAAGTATCTCATATCAGTTATTTATATAGACTTACCTGAAGTAGGCTGAACATTTCTATTAGCTGTCTGAGCTATTTTGAAATCTAAAGTTTGAAATTTAATACATATTTGAAAGGGGCTTATTATGAATAATAAAAGATTATTTTCTTACCCCTATTGCCATGAAAATTCCAGTGGCTTAGAAACTCTGG